GAAATTAAAGCTAACGCGAATATTTAAAGGAAAACCGAGTTATAGGATGAAGACCATACATAAACTTTTACTAATAGGATATGTAAAGGAACAATTTATAACATCAGTTTTACAGATGACAGATCTACTGCAAAATCATAACTTTATTTCAAAATGAAAGGGGCAACGTTATAAACTAAAACCTTAAATCATGATAGTCTAATTAAAATGGAAGACAACCCAAGCAGCAACCGGACAATATGCATATTGTTATATGAACAACACTAGTTACCGGTAGGTAAATGACACATTTCAAACAGTTTTAAAATGAATACCACATTGTACCTGCTGCTCAGCTAAATTAGATCACTGCTTGTATAACCTGATTTACGAAACATAAACATGAACAACTGAACAATTTCTATAGGACATTGGGATATCGCAAATTCAAACGGCGCGAATTTAGATTTGTTTGGTAAATCGCCACATGTTTCAACTGAAAACGTTCTTTTTGCCGAATTTAATTTTATTCTGAAGCGTGGGAAAGTCTTATTTAACAGTAGTCTGTATTGCTGATATTATATTCTCAATATCGTAAGCGCACTTATATTTGAAGTGAAGGTTGCAAAATTGAAGAAATCTCACTAGAATTTTCTTTTTACTGTTTGAAAACTCGTTAGAATTGGATACTGTAAATTCAGAAATTATTGCGAGATTTTTATTAATGCGAATAACGCGACTACTTGAGTATCGCAATACTAAAAACTCGCATTCTGATATCAAATACATATATCTGTATGTAGCTTTTCCAAAATTCACAATAGTTAAACTCGCATTTTTTTTATTTTTTTCAAAAATCGCAACAATAAATGCACGCAGTAATTTCTGAATTAACTTCTTGATATAAACTCGAGATATTCAATTTCAATATAATAATAAACTAGCCAACAACATGTATACGAAAGATAATCAAGTGACCATCACTTACAAAAAGAATACATTATCATAAATCATTACTAATGTAGAAGGCAAAAAATGGTTTACCTCCAGAATATTTGTTGAGTCTTATTGTATCAGTTTCTGCAAACCAAATATACAATACGAGATTTTCATCTTTTGATAATTCTATAATTCCAACCAAATACAGAGTTGTATAAGTCTAGTTTCTCGTACAGTGGACCAAAAGTTTGGAATGCTCTTCCTAATACAATTAAAAAAATCAAACACATTATTAGAATTTAAACTACAAATCTGTGTACTTTTAACATTACCATGACATTTGTACTTTAATACCATAGAATAGTTATGGTAAATATGTCATGCATGTTCAGGACGAGATCAAATTAAAAATAAATACAATAGGTAGGTCCTGTAATAGAGAACGTACAGGATGACGGGCGGGGAACTTTAGACTGCCAGTGGAAAAGGAGAGTCTATTGGATAGGTACAGAAATTGCTTTGCAACAGGCAACCTACGGACCCTCAAAGAGTTGTTGCAATGGTTCTTAACGTACAGAGAGCGTTGCAATCTCTTTACACGAGACATTGGATTTAACGTCTTCGTTCTGACTGGACGAGGCTGCGTACTTGTACATCCCGCACAGCCAAACGGACGCCCTGCTTTAGCAAGGATTTCACTGCCGGTCGGAAGAAGATCAAGAGTGTTCGTACTACTATTCTCAAGTCACCATTGGGGTCACGTATATTAAAGGATAATAATTTATTGCTATATATATTTATATCATTTGTTTATATTTTCAAAATGTATTGTCAGCTACTTTTTCAAATGAATAAAATCATTGATTTTTTTAAGCATAAAAGTTTTCGCGTAACATGGGATGCTTTCATACAGCATGGCTTGTTTTAATACGAAATGAAAGCATATGACGCTGCCAAAAAAAAAGATCAGCATTTGTATGACTGAACTCTTACTGTAACTATTACAAGTTGAAATACAGTGATGAGCGGCATTAGATGGTGCCATAACAGAGTAAAGGAAAACGGAAATGTAGTTGATGTATTATATCCGTGGCCATTTTTCATTAATGTCAATCAAATTATAATGGCGTTCGTAAGACGTTAAAAAAGATGACTTTTAATCACTAGTTTAATAGCTTCTTTGTACGTAACAGCCCTCTTTCAAGTAGATTTAAATTAAACACAAGCCTCAGAAATGTGTATCCATTTTTTGATATATTCTCTTCAAACTGTAATTGAATATCATTTAAACATCAGAAAACGAAGTTTAAGTATATTGATTACTTTATGTCAATTTTGTTAGAATTCAATGAAGGCGGGATTCGCGCTGGCCATAAAAATTGCCTTTATTTAAAATTAGGGCCTATTGAAGTAAACCGTGTTAATTCTTTGTAATTTGAATTCTGCAAGCACAAAGCATCGGAAAAATGTTGACGTTAAAGGCGTTCAAACAATTATACAAGATTTAAATGCATGAAAAACGTATGCAACTACCGATAACTATGTCTCTACATACGACATTGGAATAACCTTCATCGGGTACTCTCAAAACGATAAGCCAAAAAGGTCAAATATAAAACTTGAGCATTAATTCCAAAAGTGCCTAAAGACGAAAACCAAAACCGTTCTAGATTAACTTCATCCGCGAAACGTCACAGGCTTTATTTGTAGCCCAACTACACAATTTATGAACTGGAAATTTAAAAAAGAAAATGTTGTTTTAATCATTTCAGTCCCAAAGTCGATCTGGCTTAATGTACTTTTAACAAAACAGATGTTTTAGTTTTAGGTTATGTTTTAATACTCATAAATTAGTCTAGACTTAATCGTATCAGTAGCCTGGAAATAAGACAAATTAATTCACTTACTGAATCATATTGAGATGTGATTCAGTGCCATATCTACATTTTAAGTCACGTGTTTCATATTACAATCAAACACTTTACCTTTCATAGAATTGACAATTTAATCACGATATTATTACATGATCTTAATCTTGTGATTAAAAAAGTTGTTTCTATTTATCATGCATTTAAATTTCTGTAGTAAAACTTGGTTTTTTTCTTTAAATTGAAAACTGGAATACTATCTAGTTGAGCATCTTTCCGTATAGTCTTTTAAAGTAGGTCATTTCTTTAGTTAGAATTAGACTCTTTAATTATATTTTGAAATGATATAATCCCCTTCCCGGTATTATATGTAATCTGCAATATGAGGATCACAGGTCAAGAAGATATCATGCGATTTCAAACAATCTGTCCAATAAACCTTCCACACCATCTTTGCAAAATCCTGGCATACCTCTTGTCATATCATTTCAGTAGTTCTACGTGGATTCAAATCCCGCTGTGGGAAAAACAAAAACTAACGACAGCAAACTTGCAGACCCAATAAGTTAATTTGGACATAGGCATATCGTATGAATCAACCAATTCGTGATGGTAAGTTTTTTTTCGGGTTATTGCAAATAAAAACTGTAGTTCTAAGGCTATGGATCTTATTTTACACTCTTTTGATCTTTTGTTTAATTTACGCAAAGGTAAAACTAGATTTTTTGTAATGTTATTTGCGTCCATGTCTTACTTTGCAAATTGCTGTCTAAGATCAAAGAGTGAGTTAAACCTAAATCCTATCTATAATGTCAGAGTTCAATTACAGAGGGTAACATCCACTCAAAAGTCTATCCCTCAATATTTGCATGATTTATATAAAGCATAATCGTTTTAGTGTATATGACAAGTGCAGACATATATGAAAGTTTATATTGTTCCGTTTAAGAAATTTTGTGTTTTAAATTCTATCATTTTGTTTCTAAACGTTTTAATCTTGAATGTCCCGAATGAAGTTATTCAAGAAAACAGCCCGTTTTAACGGAAATGTGTATCATACTTTGATCAATCTAATTATAATAAGATTTGATTTCGCAATGCTTAAACAGTGTTTGTTCCAGTATTTGATGTGATTTTGTCATTCTTTGATCAATATAACAGTAAGCGAGTCACGATGGATCTAAAGTTTAATCAGTTTGATATTTTCATATAATAATCACTGCGTCAATGAGATTCCATGTAGGACAATGAGTGAGTCATCCACTCCATAGTCTTGATTTAGTGCATGCAGGATATAAATGATGCATAACAGTTTATATTTTAAATTTTCAGTTGATGAATTTGTGATTCTATTAAAAATAACCTTGCAATTCCCTCAAACATAGTTGACCTTACGCTGTATTTGCCATTTTGATTTTCGGCCCCTTTTTGTGTACTATTGAACAGAAAGATAGAAATATTGATTTTGTCAAAATATATCTACACCAAAACTTCGCAATTTCTTTACAAATTACGTAATGACGACATAAACAGTGATTTAAGAGACGTTTATGATTTAATTTGGTGTAAATATATAATTAAAAATTTTGTCATAATCAAGAATATTTCATATGGTATGGTGTAACTGCTATTTCTTTCACGTAACGACAAACTTAATACAAATGTGGTATCTAATATGGCACTTTACTTATTTACTTAATTTAAGCTACAAGTTTTTCTTCACACGTAAGCAGCTGGTTTGTAGATTCATTCTTCAAAGGACATAAATAATTGTTGCGGTGAGATCTTAATGAGAAAATTATCTTGGTCTGGATACATTTTGATCTTAAAACGGTTTTGCAAGTATATATTTCATCTGCTTGTAGTTCATACAGAATAGCATCAAGGGTGTGTCATGATTGGTTATTGTAGGTTAAAATAACAGTTTGTTTTGAACACAATGTCTTAAATGTCTTAAAACCTTTCGGAATTTGGGTTCCTCGATGCTCTTCAACTCCGTACTTGATTTGGCCTTTTTAACATTTTAGTCTTTTGTAGACGAAACGCGCGTCTGGCGGACAAAATTTTAATCATGGTATTTATGATTAGTTTATTTATATAGCCATATAAACTTTTCAGTTACTATCTGGAGTTATAGGAAAATGAATAAGTCCGACCAAACTGAAAGTTCTACTTTTCTTTTGGCAACATTTCCTCTTGTGTTTTATCAAAACATACTATTTACATATTTTAATTGTAATACATCATGTTTCATATTATAACACATTCAGAATTTGTTGATTGTCCTTAATAGCCTGAATCCTGTTAAGATAATAATTTAAGTGCATAGATGTTTCGGTTTTCAAACACACCACATCATTTTATCTGATATTTAAATTTTTATGTATAATTTTGTATATTCCGTATTACAATTTTCACTATTTCGGAGAGTTAACTTAAATAACGTATAATGTTTGCTCATATTTTCAATATTTATACAGAACATTTACCACTTACATAAGCAGAACATCACTAAACTACTTTTATATTAATGAGTGACGTGAACATTTTACCACTGTTATTGATACAAGACTTTCATGATATATATACAGACATTTAATTATTCATGTTATATGAGTTGTATCAATAAGTGTATTCCTTCTGTCTCTATAATGATCTATGCCTTTTGATAAGTCTCTCTGGAACGTATTGTACAATTCAGGGTCGTTTTGTCTAGTTTCTTGTAGTGATGTAACAGCACGATGCCACCTTGTCTTTGGACTGGAATATATGACTTTTTGTCGTTGTAAATTTCTGTTCTTTGACATTCGCATGTTTGCCTGCCAAAATCATATGTAATTTTACTTCAAATTTTGTTCCAATCTTGTACTTCGGTATAGTGTTGATAAATAATACATTATGTCTGTAAATCAAGTTCATAAAATAAAGTTATTTTGCCAATATTGAAGATGCGACACCCACAGTTTTTTGCTAGTATATTAAGGTTCTTTTGAATTTTATTCTCTCAAACGGTTTCTCTTTTTTTGCTTTCGATGCGTTGTACTGCAAACTAAGATAATGAACTTTATTAAAGATACAAGTGATGTGTGTACGGTACAAGTATATACGTTTTGCTTTTGTTGTTTTATTTTTTGTTTTGTTTTGGTTTATTTGTTGGAGTGTTTTGTTTTTTTTTTGCTGTTTTTGTTTGGTTTTTTTTTCGAAGGGTGGTACTGGTATATTGTTTCAAAAACCTTTAGAATCAAATAAAAAAATCAATATCATTAGACTTTGAAAATCTCATTAGTTTATAATAAAAGTCTGGATAATACTATTTTAAGACCAGTTATCCTATTCAAACAGTAAAAGTTAATAAAAAACGAGTTTAACAACCGTTACCCTCTTCACAAATATTTCACGTCTTAAACTAATTGCAAGTTGGTATATTTAGAATAAATTGTGTTTAAGCCACTTATTCATTAAATTTTTCTTTCACACATGTTTTATTAGCTCGCCTACTCCGGCTCGTCACCGCTTCCCTTTTCTCAACTACGCCTGTTCTTCGCACCATCTACCAACTTCACTTCCATAATGGGACCGGTAGCAGCTTGCATGTTAGGGATTTATTTTTAAAACCCAATAACTTTTCGGTAAAAGGGAACTTTGATCTAAAGTCTAATTTGCGCAGAATCAATGTTTTGCCTTGCAAATGGGGCTTGCTAGTGACACTCAAGAAAACAAACTATGCCGTTACTCCTCCGCATTTGCAAGGACATCCTTTGGGTCTTTTTAATGCTTTGTCTATCGTTTTAGCTTTGTCCGGAGAGCCGTTGACCCCCTTTTTTGTCCAGCTGTCGGATCTTGTTAATTGTATGTTACTTTTATCAAGTCAATGTTTTTCTTTATCATAAGCAAACCTTTATCATATGCTGGTAACTCCTTTCGCTGAGGAAAATAGCTTTGGGGTACCTAGCTCATAAATTTGCCATTTTCATTCTTGTTGTTATTATTACAAGTCAGGTAAAATACTGAATTATTCATTAACAACGGGTGATTTTTCATGTATTATCTCTTTCTGAAAATTACTACTCGTAATGTCAATCGTATTGAATAAGTTTACATGTACGTACGTTAGGACGTCGAAGTTATTTGTGTCTTGTCCGTGTTGTGCTATGGCAAAAGGGAACACGAGAACTTCACAACTTGTTTCATGAAATTAACAGTTTCATTTCGAACAACTGATTTGAATCAGGTAACAATCCAATTATAACCTGATATTGATATTCTGATGAAAATAGTTAATGCGATTTATATAACATTTTTATTTCTACAATACAGATTTTATTTTGTCCAATTACGGAATTGAAAGAATGCCATTTGCAACAGAAATCGGATTTGTCATCACTCTGTATTGAAAAGAAAAACGGTTTTTAATATAAAATATGTTAAGTTTTGCAAAACTTTGAGCAAGCACTCCTAATGTCAAAGTACTTTTTTCTAACTAAATTAAGAATCTTGGCTTTAATTAAAGTTTATACTTTGAAATATCTTTGAAAAATCAAGATTTCTCGGAGCGAAACTAATTCACTCGCCTACAGAATGAAGGAATGGTAACATAACTCCATGAACAGTTAGTCATCCGAAACGAAACGTGGTCTGTCTGTCTGTAACCAACCAGTATACACTAATGAACAAAGCATCAGCCTACTATTCAGAGGCATAATGACAAAAAATCGTATATATACATAAATAATGAGATTTTTAAATCTTAGAGCTGTAGTTCAATGGAAACTATGTCACCCGAAACCAAATGCATTGTTATTTCATGGTGTAAGGCGAAACGGGTAGATATCCACTAGACATACATTTTAAACTACGTATACTTAATTTTTGGGTAAAATTACTTTCGAATGATTCTAAACTGTCTAGTATTATGTATAAGTTACCGTATGAAATGAATTGTTCAGGAAATATGCAAAAAAAGTGGTTATTACATGTTAAATCTATACTGAATGATGTTGGCTTATCGTATGTTTGGGATAACCAAGTAATTGTTAGTAAAAATAATTCAAAGTATGTTGTTAAACAAATCTTACAAGACCAATTTGTACAAAAATGGCACAGTATTGTTGAAAGTGCCCCAAGAGGGGAACTTTGTTTATTATTTAAAAGAGATTTATGTCTGGAAGGCTACTTGACGAAGCTAAATAAGCGACGCAGAGAATACTTGAGTAAACTGCGTTCAAATTTGAAATTTCCTATAGAAGCCGGAAGATGGTTAAATATTCCTCGTGGGGACAGAATATGCACATTATGTGATAGTAGGATGATTGGAAAAGAATTTCATTATCTGTTAGTATGTTTTAACCCAAATATTGAAAGAATTAGAAAAATACATATACTGTGATATTATTTTTTGACCCCGACAGAGGACAAACTATTTGGTTTGCTATATTATTGTAATATAAAATACTCAATAATGTTGCATTGTTTTAGCAAAAAATCATGAAGTATTTTTGATATACGAAATAATTTAGTACTTACCTAATTTAAATTGTGTGTTATAATTCAATTAATCATATGATATATATGTCACGATATGCGCAAACTATTTTTATTGATCATTTTAACCACGTGTGAATCAACCGTATGGGACGGTGTGTTTGGTGGCTTATATTAAATTGACCTGTATATATGTTTATTTCAATTTTGGTGAGTGTACAATAAAATCTTGAAATCTTGTTACCCAAAACTAATGAAAATGACAGACAACTGTTGGATTTTGTATTTACCAAAGAAAGGAAATTAATGACGAACCGACAGAACGACAGCGATGCGTAACACTATATGCTTCGGCAAACGAGTGGCGGGAAATTAAATTCTAATAGTTTTATTTTACTTACGTTCTCTTCCTCTTGATCTTTAATTAACTGCTGGAAAAACTTAATTATATTGTCGTCGTCTTTTCGTTCTTTATGATATTGCAGTGAAATTAGACACTAAAATGCAATATGTGTGGATTGACTATAGATGAGGCTTAGAGAGTAGTATTCGTGATTATTCAGTCAAAAATAACAATTGTTCGTTATTGAGGTATACAAAGGCCTTAGCACAAAGCAAATTACAAATGCAGAGAAAGGAGGAGAGAATTGTGTGTTAAAGCATTAATTAATACTTGCATGTGATAACTTGTGTATGGATATCAGATACTAATGTTTTACTTCAGTTAAATATTCAGATTCTGTAAATTTCGAAATTATTGCGAGGTATTTGTTAATGCGAATGATGCGAGTATCGCAATAATAAGAACTCGCATTCGAATTCCTGAAACATATGTTTATATGCAGCTTTTCTTGAAAATCGCAATACATTATCTCGCATTTTTGTCCATTCTTCAAAAATCGCAATAACAAATGCATGCAATATTCTCTGAATTAACAGTATTCAATTCAGTATAAGCTTGACTCTAGATTTATAAAAAAAAAATATGTTCAATATCTCACCAGGTATGCTGCAAGGACAAGACCAATAACATATCCAGTAACTACATCCGTCCAGTGACACCGGTAGGTACGTATTTCCCACAGACCACATAGTAATGCCAACATTAGGAAGATAAATGATAGAAACGGTCGGAATATTCGCCCTGAATGAGATTTTAGGGCTCTGTGAATGTATATCTATAAAATACATATGCAATTCTTTTTGAGTGAAGTTTAAATCAACGATTCAGCACGACCTTGCTGCATTTCAAAATACTTAATGAGATACTTATACGTAACTTTTATACACAGCCACAGACAGGGGATTGTACTGAAGATCAGTCGTAAAAGATCAGCTAACAGACAAAATGTCTACAGCGTATAAAAGAGACCAAGTTTCATATTCTTAAGAAAAAAAGTATGACAAAAATACCGAACTCCAAGGCAAGTTCAAAAAGGGGAAGTCCATAAAACAACAATTCAGTTAAAAATAAACTGTCAATCTTGCTAACACATCAGAACAGACATGTCATATGACTATCAAACTAAAAAAATAACCTAAAGGGAACATGCCTATTCTGTCTCGAGAAAACAAATTGAATAAAACAAAGACTTCTAGAAATACAAATAAACATATAAATTTGCAATTAATTATCTAATATTAACAATAAAACTGGTACCAAAATGTAAACTATCATATTGTACAGATTTGATCCGAAACCAAATGTTATCAAAACTTAATTTCTTCACTATTACTTAAACATAAGTAAGGAAAAGTCCCACATTATGTTTTCTATAACGACTTTACCACCGGCTCATATATGTAGCGAATCATTGTTTTTGTTACGTTATGTATATAATTTATCTAATGAATCATTGTTTTTGTTATGTTATGTATATTGTATTCATACTTTTATACATACCACAATGAATACAGAGGAAAATGTTGACATTGCTGAATATAAAGATGGAAACGACGATCTGAAATGATACAGAGAAGGAAGGATAACTCGTATTGTCAAGAATAAATCCACGATCTGAATGATACAGGGCAGGAAGGATAACTCAATTTGTTAAGAATGAATACGAAATTACCAGTAAGGAATAATGAGTCCTAACTTGAGAATTCATCTATTGGCATTATGAATTACTGAAAATAGATGTTTTCTATCTTTATTTCGTTTAAAGAAATGTACAACAGTTTGGCGAAAACCTGCATTTGTCAACGTATATTTGATCCTGCTAATAAAAGCTCCCGTGGAAACTTTTTTTTTTATAAACAATGATATCATATCTGTTTCCGTTGGAATAGATCTTCTTTACCCTTCATTCCGTGAGGGGAAAAAACTGCATTATTCCTTAAAGTGGAAATAATATTCCATTTGTATCCTAAGCTTAAATCTTCACCAAACTGGGTAAACAAATTTAGTCGTATGATCTCACAATTTCCCAATTAATGAATTGGTCATTTCCTCATTTTATAATGTTTCTGTTTTATAGAGAACATTTTACACATTTCTCCAATATACTTGTTCTGTTAACACTGAGGTAAAAGAAAATAACATATATTTTTTCCTTACCAGACCTAGTCTACTAGAAATAACAAAAGGAGAGGGAAATACGGGTACTTACACCTTATAGTTTTAGACTAATATCCGTTTATCAAGTGTTATTATATGCGATTCAAGCAATTCCCTCAGTTTTGTTTGTTACATTGATTTGCAATCTTAATCGATTTATGAGCTTTGAACACATGTAAACTACTGTTGCCTTAATTATTTACCTAGATTGTCTTAATTTGATTTCGTCTGTTTGTGTACACAATTCGTCCCCACCATAATTAGACTGGCTGGTACACTGTGACATATTAGGTTTACATACTTCAAGAAAATTTGGTGCTAATCGTCCTGTCATTAGTTTTATAATATCTACATAGATCATAAGCGATAAAATGCCAAATAGGAAAACACCTGAAAAATAGAAAATGAATTGTAAGAGAAATATCAAATCTGAAATTTCATTGTGAAAATGTCAGTAGAATTATAATCTATCATCAATTAACCAATAGTATCTTCAATTATCAAGTCGGAGAATAAATGTGCATGTAAAGAGGGTATACTTTTCGTTAAATAAACCCCTTCTTAAGTCTTCAATATCTTTAGAATATCTGCATCCTTGTTTGGATTCTTTTAGTAGATTTTCAAGGTAGTTAAACGGAGTTACTTTCAGCAACATTCTGATAGGGGGTATCCATTCTGTGTAATCAGATCATCCTATTGTTTTCAACCCAAAACTTTCAACGGTTCAGAGTTCTTGTATATATAAACTCGTCATAGATACCAGGATATATATTGATATATTAAAAATATGTATATGTTTAGAATATATGAAGATTGTTTGAGGTAGAAACTTAGTCAAATCTTCCTGTAGTATTGTATTCATAGCCTTTAACTCTTTTAAGAATAGAATGTTTGTATATACATTATTGTATCAGGATGCAATTTAAATTAAATAAATCTATACAAGGCAGTGAACTTACCAGTAAAGCGCATCATGCGTCGAATAACTTGCGTAAATTTCAAACGACCAGTTTTTAAAGATTTCTTGTTGTCGCTGACAAATGCCCAAATTCCAGTTTCAGATAATAGCATCTTAAAATAAAAGTACACGTTGTAATATTAACATATATCAAAACATATATGTGCAGCAAATATACTCATCATAGATAGCAGACTTTGAATTTTGTACGCCAGACGCGATTCCAGGGCTCGCATTTCATATCATGACTTCCTTGATAGAGGGTTACTGCTAACAAGGAAGTTATTAAACCAAGAGTTCTAAGAGGTGAAGTTGAAATCCTCCCTTCGACAATTTTACGGACGCAATCACGATAAATATAAGGAGATGTGGTATGATTATCAATTAGACATCTATCCATCAAAGTTCAAATGAAGTTGATGTAAGTAGTTAAAGGTAACCGGTCTTCAACACTAATAAAAACCCATACCGTGCATGTAGTCGGCTATAAAAGGCTCCGACATGAAAAATATAAAACAATTCAATAAAGAATTAAAGGCCTAATTAAAACAAAGCAATTAACGAAAAACAAATATGACAGACATGAATCAACGACAACCACTGAACAACAGGCTCCTGACTTGGGTCAGGCACATAAAGAATGTGGCGAGGTTACACATGTTTGTGAGCGCTCAACCCTCCCCTAACCTGGGACAGCGGTGTTACAGCAAAACATAAGTACAAACTATAAAAATCAGTTGAAAAAGGCTCTCTTACGATCGATAAAACGAAGAAAAACATCTAACACAGACCGGACGTGCCAATAACAACTAATAAAAAAAATCATGTATCTAAGACTAAAATATAAATCAAAACACATCCAATGTGTTGACCGTTATGGAATATCTGTTTCACAGCTGATAACGGATATGTTCCAATTGTCGTGCTTACAATCCCGTCCTCCTTCACTCTGAATGTGACCTACCGAATTAGACTTATTACCGGATCTGTTTTTACATGAGCAACACGACGGGTGACACATGTGGAGCAGGATCTGCTTTCCCTTCCGGAGCACCTGAGATCACCCCCGTTTTTTGTGGGATTCGTGTTGCTGAGTCTTTAGTTTTCTATGTTGTGTTTTGTATACAGTTTTTTGTCTTTTGATCCTTTTTAGCCATGGCGTTGTCAGTTAATTTTCGATTTATGAGCTTAAATATCATTTGGTATCTTTCGCCTCTCTTTTACCTCTACATCCAAGTGTACTTTGGCGTCAGGCACGAACTATAAAGAGTCTCGGTTAGGGCTCAATGCTATATATAACTATAGATATATAAACATACCTTGTGCCTTATCTGAATCAATATATAAAACAGGAGACGTGGTATGATTGCCAATGAAACAACTATCCACCAGAGTCCAAATGAAGTGATACCATACGGCTTTCACATTGTTTAGATCCTTTCAAAACCCCATATTGCGGTTTTGTCCTTTAAGAGATGTTTTTGTAATGGACTGAGTAGAATTGAATAGGACTTTTTTTAAATAATAGAAGTATGATTTTTCAGGAGTTCGGCTCATTTTAATGCTGTGGTTATTATCTAAAATTAACCAAAATATTCATTGTGTTCGGACTTTCAATATTGGAGTAAAAACACTATATAGGTCAATCTTCAATGTACAACATAAGAACTCGGAAATTGATATTATAATGTACATTTTTAATGGACTCATTGATATAATAATTGTGTATAGCTTTCTGTATAACTGATGCTTTTTGTGATTTGATTATAGGAGACGTCTGAGTACTCTCAGAACTGAATAAAAATGAAACCCCCACCACAAGTTTTAAAGTTTGCAAAACATTGTAATAATATGGATTCAAAATTAAATTGGTGGAACTATATAGTAAATAATGATACATCTACAAAATAAACACAGAACGGAAACTTTGTCTGGATCGATCATAAATAAACGTAGGTAAAAAAAATGTCAAAATAGGTGCAATTCGGGTACACTTGCGTTAATATACAGGACCACAACCAAGAATGAGTAATAATATGTATACGCACAATGCCGATCGGTATACAGAAATCTAATATATATATTAGTGCCACAGGAATGTGCATATCAAATGTCAATCCTGCCTCTTTCGATGTGGAATATTTAATATCATTATCTGTACAAGAGAAGTTCACCTTTCGTATTGGGAAGACTGTTGTGAATCTGAAATTTAATTGAAATATATATGATAGTTTACAGTTACAAAAGTAACTTAGTATAAATAATATTTGAAAATTTTTTGAGTTATGTGTAAAAGGTACTGTTACAGTATTTTGCAAAAAATATAAAACTACAAATAGCATAAGATCGTGTTCATTATAAAAGACATTAGGCATATTACATCAGGAACTCCGTAGCAACTGAATGATAGTGTGAGACCTGTATTGGTATCATCATTGCTCGCGTTAGAAAATGTACTTTTTTTTTCAAGTATATAAATCCATAGGCTGTTTAAATAAAAATCTGAAGATAACTTTGATATGGAGCTTGGTTCTGTGAAAACCTAAATACTTCTATCTACTAGACTGGTATATAGGTGGATTATGTTTCCTCATTGTTTTGGAGAGAAATAAATCACATGGCATCATTCTCGAACAAAGACTGTTCAACCTAATTATTAAAATTGTACTGTTCATTTCCGGTTTTACATTTTTAGTTTGTTTGTGTTTTGTTTTACTTTTCTTGTTGTTGTTAATTAAAGGGAGAGTGTTAAATTGTTGTTTTTGTTTTTTTCGCTCTATCTGAAGATGTTTGTTTTCTGTGTAGTTTTTATTCTTGTTTGTTATTTTGTCTTTTTTCTATTGGATATGGTTTTCTATTGGATATGGTTTTCAGCTTATAGATTGTGATTGCCCCTTCACATTTTCTTATTGAAATAATGTAAGAACTAAACAAAAAATAATATAACTTACCTCAGAAAATATTCCAAAATACAAACAACTGCCAAAATTAATATTTCTATTATAATTGTAATCATTATGGTACAGTTCCATCGTTTGCTGACTTCGGGTGTACTGTTATCCTCTTGTGCTTCATCGTTGTCTGGTTTCGGTTCTTCCATTGCTCTATAATATAATGCAAATAAAGATTCATTCAGAAGATACATTCGGCACACCTCGGCAAATAACACAATATTTTGATGAAGGGTATCGGAATCTGTCGAAGTTAAAAATACCAGAAATGTGTAAAACTGTCAGAAAGTAATGAAACAACTCAATTGCATCGATGGCAAATATTTATTCAAAATTTTCAAGGAATTGTTTACACTCAAGAAATAGTTAACTTCGATAAAAACATAAGCTTTGTCAGAAAATCTGATAACTGGTTCTTAAGAGGTAGGATGGTGTTGATTTTTGAAGGCTGATATTTGAGGCATTACTGAGAAATTATAAGTGATCTGAAACTGAAATATGAATTTCAAGAGTTGTTTGAAAGTATAAATGCGCGGTTAGTTTCTTATTCTTCGCCAAGATGGAAGCATACTTGAGACTAGCAAAATTGTTTCTCTGATTTCAGTACGACAAGTACGAAAAGTTGTGATGCGTAATTTTGATTTTCACACTTCCTTTGAAGAAGACGGTTTCATATAGAAAATTAGATAAATAAAAGTACCTACCTGAAATATTATAATCCTATTAAAATTCGAACGTTTTCGAACAATTCATACATATATTGGTAGTTTGTCTACATTAGTTAGTATTTTCTAATATGCCCATCCTGTGAGGCTGCTTGAAGGTAACTTGAAATACTTTACCATTTTTTTTAAAAGTATCCAAACTAATATCTCATTTAGATATGAAAGGTTTCAATTTGAACCATGTTTTCTTTTTCATGGATCCAACAGCCTTAAAAGATATGTGTAAAAATAGTTATACACCATACAAGATATCCCTAAATCAATGTGGGATATGACACATGTTGTATCAAATCAATATAGACGATTTCAAAGGCATTCATAAATGTTTGTACTTAACTGCAACAGCTGTTTCTATTCAGAAAGGGGGATAACCAGTTCAATAAATCATTTTTATGACGCAAAAGGTGTTAGAATATTATTATATCATACAAATTTACAATCTTCGCCACATAAATAAAGAGTACAAATAAAGAAATCTTCCGTTTTGATCACTGGTTGCAGAGGTAGAACTGTAAGTAATATTTTAAATAAAATATGTAATACAGTAGCTTACGTCACACATATGGCATGAGCAGATACTAGAGTTTGAATCATTTGTGCTTCTCATATATAAGTGCACAAATATATGGAGTACCGTGTGAGTCATGATCCAAATACTCTGTGTTTAATATTTTACGTTTGAAAAGATTGAATTCGTTGTTACAACCACTCTTTGAAAGATAAAGTTATGATACTAGAATATGTGAGTCAAAACCCTAGTTTCACATCATAATGAAAATATGCATTAAGTTTTAAGTTAACGTGATCCCAACTTCACGGTAAACTTCATTTAACTAAAACTTTACCATGAACATGGAACGGACGGACGCACAGACCAGAAAACTTAATGCCCAATACTATCTTAGGCGAGGCATAAAAAACTTCCTGGAGTTGCCTCTTTCGTTGTTCACTTCTTGATTTTTTCCGCGTCTTTATTTCGAAAAAGCGGGAAAATGTGTTAATACAAGAGGATTTGTAAGTGTGACAATGCAGTATGATTAATTCTTTATTCATTTGAATTTGAATTATTCCCCTTAGTTCGGTTAACACTTCATATAATGTTTGTACAAACTATACTATATGTATGTAAGAACAAATAAATATAACATTTATAGCGTGCGTTTAATCGCTTTTCTGGATTTACCTGCATCACGAACGCTAATAGCCACAAATTTGAATGCCAGGAGTTTATAAATATGTTACAACTATTTGTAAGTGTTGGATAAGTTAACTTTCTTTTGAAGGTCAGCTTGTCCCCATTAACAATTATGATTTCTATACACTACCCACAATTTTATCAAACAAAACTTTATTTCTGTTTCCGTCATGAAAACACACCGATCGTACATGCAAAGAAATTATTGAAGCCATAAGTTGTTGTTATATTTGATTTACTATATTTGTTTCTGCTTTGAAATAAAGTATATACTGCCAAGTGATGGTGCTCCTCTTATTTCACATTTATTCCTTACTGTAATGAATCATAATTTTATAGTAAAACTACAATAAAGACCAACCAAACATCACATGATAGACGACGTACACTTGTCCTGTTGTTAATTTTGTTTGTGTGCCTATTGTTAGTCTAATAATTAAGATTAAATGAGGAAGGGTTGACTTATACATAGAAAGAGATAGAGAGAGATTACGCCGAACTTAAAACGTCCTCTGTGTAATATATGGTCGCCATCAAAAATTAATTTACAATTGCATAGTGAAGATATACTGGACTTTCCTAGTATATTAAAAATCAGTGTATACTGGGAAAACTATTTCCAGTAAAATTTTCTTTCAACAATTAAACTTGGACCTGTACCTGCTTTACTAGTTACCCATAATGTTGCCGCTCACAAACAAGTATAAATCCGGTAATAAGTTTGATCCGGTGAAAAGTCATAAATGAGGAAAGAGAGACAAATAGAACATATTGAACATATTAGTTGTCAACAGTGTCAGAGATGTTCATTAATGGTCAACCAATCCATGGTCATAATGTTGGTAAAGCTTTTGAAGAGATAACATTACCACTTAGAAGTCGGTTTACTTTTATAAATTTTGACTTGGAAGGAGAGTAGTCTCATTGGCACTCATACCACATCTTCTTATATCTAATTAATTCCGTAATTTCCTTGTAAGCAGCAACAATCTACCAATGAAATTTGCCTGCAATATTTTACGGCTTTATACAACGATCACAGCCCCCAATTCTATATGTTGAGTTGAGGTTAATACATAAAGTCATCTCTAGGTTGGAAACTGTTTTCTTGATTATTAGATATCAATATTTGAAATGGGGAATCTAACTGGACATAAATTGAATAACAATCTAAATATTTTGAAAATTAAATGAAATGCGTTTAGGAGCTCTTCAACGTCGTACAAAATTATAAAATTAAGAAATTGTAAGAAATTGTCATTTAATGGCAATAAATCCTATAAGGAGTCTTATGATTTCATCCATGTTGACTTACTAGTAGATCTAATTTTCTGCTTCAAGTTTCTCTCTGTCTGCTACAGTTTTTAAGAAAAAATGCAAACAATCATTATGGGTAAAAATCATCATTCAGGGGTAATAACTCCTATCAGAAGTTGGTTGACAATTTCTGCCATGTTGACTTCTTTGTATATCTTATTTACCGGTACTCTCTGTGTATTAAAGTTTCTACAAAAATGGGTAAAACCGTCATTCAGGGGCAATAATTCCTATGATAAAACCGTCATTCAGGGGCAATAATTCCTATAATAAAACCGTCATTCAGGGTCAATAATTCCTATAATAAAACCGTCATTCAGGGGCAATAATTCCTATAATAAAACCGTCATTCAGGGGCAATAATTCCTATAATAAAACCGTCATTCAGGGGCAATAATTCCTATAATAAAACCGTCATTCAGGGGCAATAATTCCTATAATAAAACTCACCAAAGATACAAGGTTTATAATATTGTACCTCAGACGCGAGTTTCGTTTACAAGAGACTCATCAGTGGTGCTCGAGTCAAAAAAGTTTTTATAAAGGCCTAACGATACAGTTGAACGTTTTGGTCATTTTGACTAATTGTAGATCTTATTGCGACAAACATCTTTGCTGTTTACAATTTCTCTCTCTAGTATGGTTTTTGCAAAAAAATGCAAAAATGGGTAAAAATCATCTTTCTATGTCAAAATCTCCAATAAGGGGTCAATTTACGATTTCGGACATGTTTGACTTATTTGTTCATCTTATTTAACTTAACATCTTTGCTATTTATATAGTTTCTCTCTATCTATTATAGTTTCTGCAAAACACGCAGAAAAATCCACATTCAGTTGTAACAACGTATACGGGTCTATTGACGATTCTGGCAATGTTGACTTTTCTGTAGATCTTATTTTGGTGATAATTTTTACTATTAAATATTTTCTCTATTTTTTTAGATTCCGCAAAAACGGGTAAAAATTATCTTTCAAGGCCTTACTCCTATGAGGGGTCAATTGACGATTTCTCCCATTTGACTTGTAGACGGATCTAATTGTGGTGGTCATTTTTACAGTATAAAGTTTCTCTCTATCTGTAATAGTTTTAAAGATAATACACAAAGTAGTGCCAGAGGAGAAAATTATTTTTAAGGTTAACGACGATGGACGGACGGACGGACGGACGGACGACGAGCGAAGATGACGGAAAAGCTCACATGGCCTTTCTCTCGTCCGACAGTAAATTCCGAAGTGATGGAGATGTCGATTTTGCTGTGCGGATTGTATAAATATGTAGCCACGTCAAATCATGACGGGGAACGTAAAATCCAATACCACGTACACAAATGACGACTGTTGGAGATTGAAAACGATCCATAATCCCCGTTTGGTAGATATGACCATACACTGACCCCATAACCTATATCACTAAAGAATTTAAATCCTTTATTAGTTTAACATAATGCTATTATTCTGAATTTGATATATGCATTCTACTGAGGTAAAAATCAAGTTTAATAAACTTTTAAGTATAATTCTTACTAAGTTAATATCGCCATATGTAAAGTAGAAACGTATGGCATTTCGCATACTGAGTATTTCACACTTTCCTCAATCTCATGATTCTTAATCTAGGATTCAACCCTATTAACCTCCCTCTAAGTTTCTTTGACTTTATGTTCCAATAGAATGTGATCATATTCGTGGCAGATTGTTTAATAGTTTGTACAATTAAAACTTAACTAGTTGTACAAAATGTTACACCTCACTATCATATATTTAAAAAAAACATTAAATGAACCATGACCTTTCAAAATTAGGGTGCAAATTTAATTGAATCCATCGCTTGATGATGTTTCTCCATCCACATGTTCTTATTGTATAGTATATTCATGTAAAGTTTCATGGAAATCCATCGACGGTTCAGGAGGAGTAGTGTTAATGGAAAGGCTGGTAAACAGGTATTCCGATGATATAAAATGTTGCGTCTACTTTCATGTCGTCTATTTTTTACTATATGAATTAAGAGTCAATCTTATTTTACACAAAACTCCTTTTACCTGTTGTTTCTTAATTATCATATATAAAAAGGGAAATGATAACATTATATGACCAGTCCTTATGACTTATTGGTAACGATGGTGACTTATTTTGTTGTTGTTATTTTTAAATATCAACGAGTTGGTCCCATTTGTATCGGAAGCCATATGTTATGTTTATGTCACAGGACAATACACTGTTTGTACTATATCGACACGCTCATTTAAATTTTAAGTGTGCCAGCAATGAATTGAATGATGTTACCACTGTGCCCAGGCACACTTTTCTGACTTTTTTTTTGCTTATTTTGCTCTTACTCCCAAATGCCTTGTATGCTTTTGGTGGAAAATCAGCAACCTCCAAAGTTCAAATATTTGGAATCGAACACAAGATGCAACTACAGTGTAGGGAAAAAAAGATGGAATAAGTTTACCCACAAGTTTCCTTGCACCAAAGAGATTCAGAGTCTGAGTTTGAGTTGAACTGCAAATAATCAATTAGGAACAATTTTGAAAAGACGAAAGTTTATTATTTTGCATATAATCGTAAAATTAAATATCATAACTAGGTTTATTTTCCGCTTATGCTATATTTGTCACGTGATAGCAGAACATGATGATACGAAGTGGATATTTTCTTATATAATGACGTCATTGACTATAATTCATAGAAATAAGCAACTGAGTTTAGGGCTTGTCTATTTAGTATGGGAAAACGAATGTATTTTTAAAAACTTCCTTAAT